ACCCGGTGCTGCCCATCTGCCTCGCCCCAGTCGAACCCCTTCCGAGGGGCTCCCTGCGCAGGGCCGGGCGCCGGGAATGCACTGAGCCCCCGAGGGCACCCGGGACACCCCGTTGTGCACCCGCCCCATGGGCACAGGCCTCAGCGCAGACGTCCCCAAACGCCCCTGAATGGGCCTGGTGTGAGAGCCGCTCCGGAACCGGCCTCTGCTCCAGAGCTGCTCCGGAACCGGCCTCTGCTCTGAGCGCCACTCTGGAACCGGCCTGTGCACTGAGAGCCGCTCTGGAACCGGCCTCTGCACTGAGAGCCGCTCCGGAACCGGCCTCTGCTCCAGAGCTGCTCCGGGACCAGCCTGTGTGCCCAGCGCCGCTCCGGAACCGGCCTCTGCTCCAGAGCCGCTCCGGGACCAGCTTGTATGCCCAGCGCCGCTCCGGAACCGGCCTCTGCACCTAGAGCCGCTCCGGAACCGGCCTGTGCTCTGAGAGCTGCTCCAGAACCGGCCTGTGTGCCCAGCGCCACTCCGGAACCGGCCTTTGCACCGAGAGCTGCTCCGGAACCGGCCTGTGCACCGAGAGCCGCTCCGGAACCGGCCTCTGCTCCAGAGCCGCTCCGGAACCGGCCTCTGCTCTGAGCGCCACTCTGGAACCAGCCTGTGCACTGAGAGCTGCTCTGGAACCGGCCTCTGCGTTAAGCGCCACTCTGGAAGCGGCCTCTGCTCCGAGAGCCGCTCCGGAACTGGCCTGTGTCGAGAGCTGCTCCGGAACCGGCCTCTGCTCCAGAGCCGTTCGGAACCAGCCTGTGCTCTGAGAGCTGCTCCGGAACCGGCCTCTGCTCTGAGAGCCGCTCCGGAACCAGCCTCTGCTCCAGAGCCGCTCCAGAACCAGCCTGTGCTCTGAGAGCCGCTCCGGAACCGGCCTGCGTGCCCAGCGCTCGCGTCTCCTCCGCTGCCGTCCGCAGCGTGCTCCTCTGCCCTCAGCCATCCCCAAGGACAAGCGAGCCCGAGTCCGCTGACGAAGCCCGCTCAGTTCTCGGGCTGCCCCTCAGCCCAGGGCCCTGCAGGGCAGCGAGCTGCGCTTTGCCTTGCGGAAATGTGCATGTGTACGGAGCTGCACGGCTGAAAAACTGMGGGAACCTCCTGCTTTCTGCCACCTCGCGGGTGGTGGTTGAAGAAGCCGAGAGATGTCGTGGGGCAGACACACCACTTGCATTGTGAGTTTCAAAGAGCCTCACTCTCCCAAATAACCAGTGGAAGAGCTTATGATCTATGTTGTTTACAAGAAAACGACTTCTTGTTTGTTGGTTTGTTATTACTCACTTTCCAGGCAGTAGAAATAACAAGAAATATAATTATAGAACAAGTATAGAACAAGTTACATCTGCACCAAGTCTGAACAGCCTCATAAGCTTAATACGTTATATAGCTCTGAAACTAGCAAGAACTGTGCAATGATTGGGACTATGTTAATTATGAAAACATTGTGTATTTACACAGCACATTTAGAGTAACTTAAGCATGTGGATTAATATAGTTAAGTACTATTCTCACAGTAAAAAATGGGAATAATGAGGAAATTCGGGCACAGAGGAACACCCTGCCCATCTTAACCCCAAATCAAAGGAGCCAGCAGATGCGGGAAACCGAACCCTTCTCGTTTTAAGTGCAAAGGCTTCTGCTTAGGAACCAATGAAACAGATGAAAAAGGAGACAGATGAAGCTTTGTGGTAGTTTCACAAATGAGATCCCCTGGAATAYGTGTTACATATGGAAAATCAGAACTGAAGCAAGGCAGGATCATACACATCTGCTATAACAGTTTCAGTCTGTAGAACACATCCATTTTTTTTCCCCGTTTGGCCTCTACTATCCTTAGTTCTTATAAAAATACAGAACATTTATTTTCCTTCAGTTGTAAAATGACATGAGAAATGTCTTGCCATACAAAAACCTTATTTTCTAATGTAGGCTAGTATCAGTTAAAATCATAAAAAGAGTGGTAGCTAGAGCAYAAATATTTAATATAAATCGTTATGATTCTATATACTAGAAATGATGGCAGAAGAAACACAAATTTGTAGAACATCAGTTCTCTTCCAATAGGATTTTTACAAGATTCAGCCCATCTGTACAGTGACATTTTTGCAAGTATCAAGTAATAAAGCAGTTTTACATTACGCTGCCAAGACAACCATGCTAATTACATGTTTAAGCAACTCTCTACAAGTTAATCCTCAAAAGGCCATCCTTCTTTGCTCCTCCCCCAAAAATCTATTTTTTTTTCCAAAATTTTAACTAAAAGCTAAGAAAATAACGCATGTGTGCTTGTTCGCATCAGCAATTTATTAACTCAGGTTCTTGAWACTTAAGCATCATCCCAAGATACAAATCTGAAAATGAACGTTTSTGTCCTGTGAAGCCCTTCCGGATCATTGCCGCATTCCCTTGGGATGCAGAGCACCTCGCCTGCGTTCCCTCCGCCACCTTCTCCTTTCCCTTTCCTCCGTGGCGGGACGGGCTTCCCGCCTGGCGGCTGCGCGGGGAAGCGGCTGCCCCGGGAGAGCAGGGAGACGAGGCGCCAGTCCCCAGGACTCCTGCTGCACACCTGCGCGCTTACGCTGCCGCTTCATCTTGTTTCCACTTTCTGCAAATACTTTCCAAATTCGTACTGCTCTCAGAAGGGACTCAAATGCCCCTTTTCCCCCAGTCGTGCCACTAACCAGCAGCGCGCACCCCTGAGGACGCGGCCCGYGACCTCCTGCCATCCCTCCATCGGTTTTTGATAATTAGCTTGAGCAGCCCCAYGGCCTTGACTGAATTACTCAGAAGGACTGCAGATCGGAGATACCACCTGCTTTCCTTGCCAACTCTATCCATACCCGTCCTTGCACCAGAAAACACTCAGTATCTGTCTTAAAACGGGAGACATTGATAGCAGTGATGAATTCCTATCGCATCCCTTGGAACAAACTTGTCAAACTGAGCCGATGCTGCAGGAGCAGGTAGAACTCGCATTTTTTAAACTAATACTACGTTGTTAATGTCTCTTCTCTGGCCCCGATTTCTTGATCTATTGAGTTATAATTTAGCTAGATGTACTAATTAATTTCAACTATGTAAACATTAACTTTGCATTCAAATCTTGGCTTTGTAAAGATGTGCTAACCAAGTGTTTCAAGCGGTAGGGAACAGAGCACCTTTCACTGGGGAATGGAGGAAGGAAAACTAACTTTTGTGCTTCCCCAAAGGCAGTCTGTTCAGAAGGGGGTAACAGCAGGATAGCCCCAATTCACTGATACCACAGACAGGGACTTTCTTAAGTTTTAATCTGAATGGTAAAGATACCAATGTCGTGATCTGGTTTACTGTACTAACAAGATGCAGCTGGTTCAGGGTGGGTTAGAACCAGGCGGATAAGGGAGCGAGCTGCAGCGCGATGCTCTGGGGCAGCCGGAACCAGGAGGGGAATCTGGGAATGGCTCTGTCCTGCCGCAGCTTCCACGCGGGGGCTGCACCGCTACCAGCCTTCCTCCCGCTCCGCTCTTCCTGCCCTCATTCCCGGTGCCCCTGCAGGACTGATGCCCGGGCCCCCCCTGCATCATCCCGCATCCCAGCGGGACGGGGCACGCGGAAGATGCAGCCCCAAACGGGAGGAACGCCGGGTAGGATGCTCCCYTTCCCGAAGGGAAAGGAGCCCGGMCGCTCCCCGCAGGGCCGGGCTTGGCGCTGCCTTCCGGGCCCATTCCCATTCCTGGTCCCGCTCCGGCTCGTGCGGATTCTCAGCACCGCATTTAGGAGCTTTGGTCAAGGACCTGGCTCCCCRGCGGGGATTCCAGGGACACCTCTCGCTTTGGGGAGCCCTGACCAGCTCTTCTAGCGTTCACACTTTGGGGTACCTTGAGTAATAATGAAAACAATACTTTACCGGAGAGGTTGAGGGTGAAATGAATCAAAAGTGGAGGAAAAGGGGAAAAAAAAAAGAGCATAAAACCCCTATAAAACCAAGGCGAACACTATTCTAAGTAGTAATTTAAAGAAAAAAAATATTCACCGCGTATTTTGCCAATGTAAGTATGAAATATAGTTATTTTGCTGTCAGAACCAAAAATGTTCAAACTTAGAGCATATTTATGGACACGTAAAATTAACACACGGATAAACACAATCAAAGAAAAGACCACAAACGAAGTCATGAGGATCTTTGGAAACAGAATGTTGTGAGTATTTTCTAAAAATACATAAAATTAGAATAAATGATACAGCTACAAGATTATCTGTGTGAGTAACAACTCTACATTCGAGACTCGAGCAGTATGTATAGCGGAGACTCCCGTGGTTACCAGGGCAGCTTGGCGGAGACGCAGCGGCCAGTTTGATCCAAAGCAATGCCAGGGAAGCAGCCAGGTCTCACCCTTGYGGCTATGCAGCTGGACACAAATCCCGACAGATAGAACTTTGTTTCATGCAAAGACTATTTGTGTCAGGAGCATTTGATATTTTTCGGGACTTACATTTTGAAGAAGGTAGACTCATTCTGCAAAGGAAGTTCAGAATGATAAATACCAGACTTGCAGCACATTAAAATATTAATATTTAATACGTTTACTAAGCAGTCTCTGTTAGTTTTGTTGTGCATCTATGTAAAATCAACCCCCCCCCCAATTTACATTTTGCTTTCCCTCACTGATCTGATAATCACAACACAGATACAGCTGTAAAGTGCAATGTATGCTTTGGTTTCCTTAACTAAAGAAAGCACTTTGATAATGGGTTTAGCCAAAGATAGGACGCACGTGTTTAAGGACGTTATTCGAACAGATGACCATCTCTTTTTACAGCCGGAGAAAAGCCATGAGCTACTGAACRAAAATGGTTTCACTCTGGTAGCGTAGTGAATTTTAAAGCAGTCCTATTATGTAAATTACGCGGAGAAATTTGGAAGAATTCCACACTGAACAAGGATTCACTATTAAACTAATTAAAAAAAAMCTCAGATCAAGTTTACAATTAAAAAAACAACTAAAAAATAGTTGGCAAACCAGGTAGCAATTCAAATACAAGCTGGCCATTTTCAAAATCTATAAATATTTCCAGAACCATCTTATCAACATAAAAACAGGAAGAAAAGGGGATGGTTACAGGGTTCACACGTCTGCGCAAAAGCATATATAAAGGTAATGTTATGTACATTTTATTTCAATAAAGACATAAGACAAACAGCGTAAAGATGCCCAGATGCCCTAAAGATAAATACATTTAAAAGATTCTCATTAAAATGAATCTGTAGTATTTCTTTCCTGCAAGCAAAATACCTTTCTTTAAATACAAAAAAAATCAGTATTCTGAATTGCAAATGTTTTCACTTTTTTTGCAGAAAATCTGCCATGATGATTTTTTTTTTTTTTAATGAATAAAGATTTTCCACAAAACAGGCTTGCTCTACATGCTATTTTCTTTAAACAGTTCAGTGACACAATGTGCTAGCTACATACACAACAGATAATATAGTAAGAAAACACTCAACCTGATGAAAAGTTAAAATCTTCATTAATACACTGGAAAAAGTTGACATAACTCATGCCTTTTAAAATCAAAAATACAAAAATTAAATGTTTTCCTAAAAAGATTTTCCTTATTTTAAGGACTCATTTGAAAATGAAGCTGCATGTAATTTGTACAATAAAATTGTACAAGTAAACAGGTAATATACATAAAAAATTAATTGACATACTTCTCAATTATCAGTTGTCCACCTTTAATTTCCAATACTGTACTTTCTTAACAAGCATACAAAATATCAAACTTCTCTTTAGAAAAAGTGCCGTTCTGTGACATCTTTTACACAAAAACAGTCCGAGCCTGTGGCGTGTTAATGCAGTCGAGAGGCAACGCATCCTAACTTTTACAAATTATACCTTCCATAAAAAGCCTCCGGAAAAGGAGATTACGCACCATTATAAAAATATCAACCTCTGGGAGGAGCTGCATTAGAGGCGCACGGCTTGGAGACTATTTCCATGGAGCATAGGAAACCACTATGATAGCGGGAGTGTTGGCGCCCCGGCTCGGCGCCCCGGCTGCTACGCCGGCCCTAGCACTGATTGTGAGCAGGAGCGGAACAGCGGGAGCACGGGCCGGGCCCGGGAATACTGGCAGCGTGCACAGCCCGGCACTCGCGGAGGAGGCGGAGGGCAGCGCGAGCTGAACGGCACCGGACCCAGAGCGCCCCACGCCACGTCTCCTCGGCAGGGCGCGCCGGGCTCGCAGGCGGCCCYCGTCCGTCAGCTCCTTGCGCCACTGCAACGTCCTGCCGTCCAGAGCACGTGCCATCACAATGGTTTAAATAGGCTGAATATTCGCAAGTCTTATACTCTTATCTAGCCAGTCTCTTGATTTTTGAAAAGATTTCAACTACAGTAGAATATTACAGAAACAAAATATAAATGCGGTTTTTCTTTTTTTTTTTTTTTCTCTAAATGAAACTTACATGGACTAAAACTAGAGAATATTTTTAAACAAATATACAGTATGCAGGCAGACAAAGCAGGAAAACGGCCATTCAACTGTATAATAAAAAACTAATAAAATTTGGCTATTTCCAGAAAAAACTATGAAGCGCCTCAACTAAAAGGAATGCATAATGAAATTCTAATCTAATACAGGTCAAAAATGTAAAAAGGTTATAAACCTTAACAGGAAAAAATAAAACAACTTTTACTGGCCATTCCTGTTGAAATGAGAATCTTAAAAGTAACAGAAAAGTGGCTACAAACCCACTTAGAGCACCGAACAGAGAGAAAATAAGAGTCCATTTTCAATCTCTGTTATATCATAAAATCCTGTGTTTCTACAGGTCAGACTGCTGGTGGCAGAAACAGAATTCTTTATAAACTGCAGATGTCCTGTACATAAAAAAAATTCCGTTGGAGTTGCACTAGTTCTAAAGACTTTTCTGTTCTAGCCTACCTACCGCGCGGTACTGTATTGTACTGTGTGTATTCCATCTCAGATGTACAAAGTCTCTTTCTGTAACCCTTGATTATTGTTGGGCACCAAAGATAAGAAAAGCAAGACGGGGTACAAAAATGCAAAATTTCAACAGTAATGGCAATGTTTTTGTCTTAGTCCAAAAGGGTCCTGCATTTTCTCCCCCTTCAGTAATTAGACAAAAGGCTTTAATCTGGGGGTAGCAAGTCATGCAAGCGAAATCTGTCTCTGATGTGAGGTCGGACATCTTCATTCTGTGGGAAAAAAGAAAATGACAGGTTTTAAAAGGATAAATATCGYGAAAACTCAGTATTCAACAAGACTCTAACATCGGTATTTTTATATATCAAAATCCACGTATATTTATCGTTAAAGAGGCTTAAAAAATAACCAACTTTCACAATTTTGGAGTATGGCTATTTCCATGCAGAAGATGTGTACAACACGGCCAGCTACAGGCATTATTTAACCCGAGTTCTTACAGACATTCAGCTTCATCACCAATGTCAGAATGYTCCCGTTCTTATTAAAGGCCGGGCAGTGCTGGCACCTACCGTGTGTTCCTGCTCACAGGAAGATTTTAGATAATAAAAAGAAAACGGACATGACTTACAGCACTTGAAATCTCAGCGAATCAGAATCTTAAAATACATGAAAACACTTAAAAGAGCTAATTAGGAAAAGGAGAGGCCAAGTAAAGGAAATACTCACCAGCTCTACAAGTTTCTCCAGAAACGGAATCAATTTTAGGAGTTCATTGTCATTTTTGTCCATGAACCAGCTTTCAATAGGAATTCCATTTGAAAGCTAAAGTAAAATCATGTGTTGTTAATTTTTATCCTGATTTTTTCTGAAAACATGACTTGTGAAATAGCATTTTGGAGAAAAAAATCCAAACTAGCATTTATTAATATGCATTTTTGTGCTAAAGTTTTTATGAAAATTAACTTATAAAATGTCTCATTAGTTTGCATAAATCATTGCCAAAAAAAAACCCATATCAAAGCTGAAATACTTACATAGCACCCACTGCAATAAAGCTAAAACACGGGGTATAACCTGAACACTGAAGCAGACACAACGCGAGTCCAAGCAACTGTCTTGGCAGCCTGGCACTTTGTTTAGAAATGATGACTGGGACATAAAACCGATATCAGCCTGTTCATACAGCAAGTCACTTCTTATGCTCTTGATCAGCTCTTCACAAAAATAACAAAAGCAAGCAAACCAGAGAAATTCATTAAGGATTTCTTTGTAAAATTAAACCAGGCTGACCGCAAAACTTAGGAAAAGGTTACATCAAAATACAAGCTTCCTTTGTGTTCCACCCGAAAGTTTTTTGCCATATCTGACGTTTGCCAATAGCAACTTACATACCTGATAGGCAAAGGCTTGTGGTGAATTGTCAATTATGATCGTTTTTGAAAGATCTCTACCAAGAATGTTTAAATCCTTTATGTAGTTTCCTTGTACACAAACACAATGCTCACGGAATAGTCGATGCCTGTGATTAAATTAAAATACTAATTAATGACATAAATTAGAAAGTCTACATTGCACAGGGACAGGATTAGAAAAAAGTTTTTTCTTCTGTTTCACTCTTCACAAACTGCTTCATTTACAAGTTCCACCACTTTTGAGGTTTTTACTGTTACAGTTACTAGTTAAGGAGATTTTATAGTTATCTACATGTGCGAATAATTGTTTGTTTTGCATTGTTTGCATACTGTATTTAACCAGGAAAGCTCAACTCGCATTTAAAAGCTACCTGCCAACAGGATCTTGCTTTCTCAAGATTTCTCCAGAAGGGCTGACAGAGACCCAAATGCTGCAAGGAGAGCCCAGACTTACAGACGGTGTCTGAAGAGAAACCCATTCCCTGAGCTGGCTGCCTGCCGCTGCTCCCGCCACGGGGCCCGCGGCCTCCCCAGCCCTCGGCTTGCCGCAGGAGGCCGGAGCAGCGAAAACGCGTTCCCTTTTGTCACCTATCGCAGTGGTCAGAGCTTGAAAAACGCCTGGMGGCCAAAACATTCCATCAACTTCTGCCTTTCCAATTAGTCTGCCCACTTCTAATTTATTACAGGAGAAACGCATGGTAAATGCTTGGAGAGAATAGAAAAACCCAGAAAAATGTTGTAAATAAAACAGAAATTTTGATGGTTATCAACTGTAAATACATTTTAAAAATAAAACTGAACTAGGGAGACAGAGTTTTACATTTTCATGTTACAACGCAGTCTCTTTAAGGCTGCTCGTATTTTTAAGCAAAGTTTTTAGGAGCTGTACATAGTGTGCCTAATTTCACAAAGGGGCYGAGCTCCTAATGTTGCCATGGAGGAAAATAAGCCGATGCCTCAGCAGCGAATGAATTTATATATAGCTCGTGAGTCATATGTGCGGAGTGCCTGACAAGCCTACCTTTAGGCTAATGTCACAACTAATCATGCCTTGATGTCAGCTTTCAGTGGCACATGAATCACAAGTAAATTCATGAATCACATGAATTCATTTGAAAATTCTTAGAATACGGTTTGGCCGTACATTTTATTATATTTTTTCCTGTTCCCAACACATTTAAAATTGCTGCCTTGAATCATACAAATTAGATTCTTGCAGTAAGATTTTCAGTGCTACAGACGCACACACTCGCTCCTGTAAGTGCCAATATCGTCCTCGCTCTGCTGGGCTTTGTGATTCAGGCGGGCTCAGGTATCCACACGATTGTGCAGTTCTAACTTTGGATTTTTTCAAACTTTTGTTTGCCCGTTCAAAACACGGTAGCAAATCAGTTTATCAAGGTTCTGCTGTGCCACATAAAAGCAAACAATACTATTGTTCCTGCCCTATAGTGCCTCCGATAAATTACATTAGTGCTTACTGCTATACTGACTTCAGCACAAACACCAATTAGATAAATTACAAGCATTTGGTCTTGTAATAATATGTTTTAAGCACAGCAATCATGTAGATTAAAAATAGTGGCAGTTTACACTCTTAATGAGTTATGATGTCCATAAAATGCTGAGCGAAAACAATAGATGAGTTCTCAGTCAAAATGGTAATTTTATTAAACATTTAAATAAAGCATTTTTTTCCACTCAATAACATTAAAATAAAGTGATGAAGAGAAGCACTTTACCAAAGACCTCTCAAATACAGAACCTACACAGTGCTGACCACAACTAGGTACCATTGCTTACTTCCCTTGCATCCCATTTAGGACGACTCTGAGAAATTCCCTCTTTGCTTTCCTTTTTCTCACCTAACTGTCCCCCTTCTACATGAGAAGAGCAAAAAAAAATCCCATCCTATAATATTTTCTTATGTCTTAAGGAACAGCTAAAAAGTTTTTTTGAGACATGCCAATCTCTTAGAAAGAAACCTCAGCATTAAAGAAAACAAAAAGGAAAAAAAAAATCAAAACAATTTTGCTTTAAAAATCAGAAAAAATGTGATTGAATAAGAAATAAAAGTGTTGACCATGAAGATAACTRTATCATTCATAATCTATAAATAAATCAGATTTCAATATTTTAAGGGTAATATAATCAAAAAAGTTCATTTTCTTTATTCAATGCATGCAATCAAAGGCAGCTGAAACATACATTTGATACCCAAGAGGTTATTTTGAGCAAATTTCAGTGAAATTCTAATGTGGTACAAAAATGAATGGGGAAAGCTTTTAGGCCCCGGAATGCCATGGGAAGCTATTTATCTTATCACCAAGACAACAGTTTAATTGCTTCATTTTTCTCTCTCTCTTAGACTAGACATAAACCCAAGGAATCAGTTTAGCGAGACACACTACAATGAGGAACATTCATAATGCATTTTTCCATTATATTTGTTAGGAAAACTAATTTGCCTGCTTACAACAGGCACGGTCACAATTTTCTATTTTTACCTGACCAGCTGCTTTTTTGGGTCTAATATGTTCAGTAACTTGTCAGCATACACCTTCTTAGAAGCAGTAAAAAGAATGATCTAGAGGATAAAGAAAAACAAACAAAAAATATTTTAGATATAAATATATGAATGTGAATCTRATGTGAAAAATAATTCAAAGGTAGCATTCTTACCTCATAAATCTGAGACATACGTTCCAGGAATTCTCTGAAGAACGGCCGTAACCGGACATAAACCTGAAGCAGAGATGGACTTTAATAAAGATTCAAATTACTTCTGCTATCACTTCTGCTACTAATTACCAGCTTGTAAAGAGTTAGTTAAAATCAACATTCTGAATGAAGTTGGCAGCAAACAGGAACTAYCCCCACAAAAACAGCTTAACAAAAAATTAAATTAGCTGGCCGCCTCTGACAAAGCACCTATAAATGAGAGAGTAAGATGATAAAAACTGGCTCAACAATTTTCCTGGGAAAGCGTATGCAATTAGAAATTATTTAAATGAGAAGTTGGACCATTTCTAACCAAAAAGCTGAAAGGGGCTGCTCTGTCTAAACAAGCTGACTCTGCTTTTGCCAGCCGGGCAGCAAGGTTCGGCTCCCGGATRACGTGTCCAGGGCACAAAGGAAACAGGCGCGGAGCGGCACGTGCCCATCTGTCCCCTCCGGGGCCTGGGCAGCTACGGACACGGTCTGGAGGGGACACTGACTGCAAGGACGGGCCTCTGCGGTCCCAGGCCCAGAGCTGGGCTTGACCTGAGCAGCAGTGATGCCGTGTGCTATGGGTGACAGTGATTACGGGCTGTGGGTGACAGTGACAGCCTTGTTCTGTGCTTACCTGTCTTCTGTTTCAGGGCTGGACCACATATAGAATTAAATGCTTTTGACAAAAGTGGCATTTAAGTATCCAGACAGGAGGAGGATACGGACCTTACTTTAACTGAAACCAAGCTGATTTCAGATTTATCTTTAACTCCAAGTAAATCTCCACAAAGAATCTGTATTTTAACTACAGTTGCGTTATATAAAATGTATACATGAACACAACCAAAAGGACCAGAGGGAAAGAAAAGGGGAACAGTTGCAGTGAATACCGAGTTTCACACTGTCAGTACATGCTGCATTAGRCCTTAGTACCTTAACGGAAGCGCACAGTGAGTAGCTCACTATTTAGCCTTAAATTTAGTTTAGTCAATTCTGTTTGTTCCGAGCACCTGAAGTTCTCACCTAAGTTTACAGAGCGACCAGTAACCGCAGCAWCATCTGCAGCGTTCCTCCTCTAAGAGCAGCAATCCCGAGCATGCAATGTCAGCACATCTGCTAACGGCGCCGTTATTTCACGCCTAAGACCAGCTCCGTGGCCACACCAACCAGCTCCGCTTCCCTTCTGCCGCGAGGCAGCCAGGGCCACCACCGCTACCGAAACGCCGCAGAGCAGAGACCCGACCCGAGGCACCACCTCTCCCGACGGCCACAAGATCTTCGTGAAGACGGCAAAGCTTTTTGAGATAAAGGAATGACGTTTTTTTCAAAAGCGGAGGTATTTGTCCTACTGCAATAATAAACGTAACGAACCAACTCCGAGCATGCAAGTGATGAGATGCTATGTAACACTGGGCTTGTACGTGGTGGTAAATTCAGTGCAAACTGCTCGTTTTGAATGTCTTTTCTGTATGTRGTAGACAGACAATAAAGCCAACATCCTCATTAGTTCAAACCTGCAGCTTTAAGGGAAGGTAGCAACTTTTACATATTTTCGTAGCTTTCCTTTTGAAGAAAAAAAATCCCCAAAGGAGGATATCAACCCAAATTCTTCCAAAGAGCAGATATCAATGATCTTTGCAATCCATATTGTTTTTGCTCATTCCTCCCAGAGTTCAAATGGGATTTTACTGCAGAAAGCAAGTGCCAGAAACTTGGCAGTATGAGTAATGATTTTTTTTTTTTTTTTTTTGCAGATGCCAAAAGGATTATTCTGTTCATGTGACTTTCCAGAGTAAATATTTACTTTATCGGGACCTAAATCTTACTCTTCAAAAATAAGACAGTCACATAGCGGATATCAACATTTTCACTGCATGCGAGGTAATAACTGGAAATAAAAGTGGCAGAGGAGGAAGATGTTTGGGTCAAAGGCTTCTTCAAGAGCTTGGTTTCAGCTCAACAGGCCTGTTCTGCTATGGAAGAAACAGATGTCAGTTCAGAAACACTCTCCTTGACACCTCTCCTACAAATGCTCCCTGCACCCAGAGCRAAAAGCTAAGGTATCTGCCAATGCTTCAAGTGTCACTAACGAAGAACAATATTTTCTATATGATTTACTGTTCTTTTTCCATCTAATTTGAACGATATTCATCACAACAGCCAGTTTAAACCCCATCTGAATAAATGAGAGAATAGTAATGGTTTCCTCAGCAGGAAGAAGTTTGGGTTCCTCAAGCGTACCTGCCTTTTCCAGTTTGTTTCTCTGGATCTGTTTAGTTYGTAGGTAAATGCAGTAAATGCATTACAAGATAATACATTATCTTGTTTAGTATCTATTTTAGATCACTGACAGACTTATAAGTGATTATCTATGAATCTTAAGTTGCCAAATTATTTTGTTTCCCTGAGAATTTTGTATAAGAAAGCAAAGAAAGCAAGCAGGAGATTCAGGAAAAGTGATTTCTTTTTGGAATACGTATTTCTAATTATGTCTTAAGTATGTATTTCTACACACACCCACAAATATAATTTAAGTAACATCCTCAATGGCAGATTCACTGCTCTGTTCATAGTGCTTTCTGACACAGTGGCACAACACAAGGCAACCCGAATAGTGGAGCCAGCTGCGACGCGCAGACACGGCGCTGTGGTGAGCCAAAGCAGCGCAAATCAGAGCAAAGGACACCCGCTCTTCCTCTCTGCCTCATCTTCCTCTSCCTTCCACATCCTCCCCATACTTTGCCTTTTTCCTAGTTGTTGGTGCCAACGTTCCAAGTTTCTCCCTTTCCTTCTCAAGTGCAAGACTCAGTGTAACCCCGCAAATACAGGGTCCCTTTCAGCCTGCAGCCGCAATTCCCTCCTCCCCTGTTCTCCTGCCCGCCTGACTCTACTGCCAACAAATTCTAACTCTCCATCACTTCCCACTCCTGCTCTCTGTTGAGTAGATCTAACGTGAAAAAGCTTTGTAAAAATATATAGGGAAGTCTAATAATAATTTCCACCATTTTAATAACAAAGTTTATTCGGTCACAGAGATAGGACATCACTAACTTCCAAGTGACTCATTCCAGCTGCCACAAATACATAGAAAAATCTTTTCAAATTTTTGCCTCATTATTTCCAAGGCATCAAACAGTCAATGTTCCAAATCCATACTGTCTTTCAAGCAATGCCCAACAGTTGCCCCCAAGAGGCTCCGGGGGCAGCTGGGGCTCTTCCCCGGCCCGCGGCAGGCAGCAGCTCCGGCCTCGAGCAGTGTGTGTGAGAGGGAGCACTCATCATATCATCTTTCAGGATCTGCTAAWCAAGGAGCTTCTGGCTTACTACAAATCAATAAACATTTCATCCCAACAAAACCTACACTTCAAGATACAGCAGCCACAAGTTTACAATGATTTCTTACTATACACGGAGTTTGGGGTCTGTATTGGGGGGAAAAAACCTCTCATGGACCAAAAGAAAATTTTTAGAAGAAACATTTTTCAATTAATGTCCTGATATTTACATGCAAGTTCCCCAAATGTGTTCCATTTCAATAAATAAATAAATAAATACTGGAAGGAATAATTATTTTCATGCATTAAGAGGCATGTATTCCACTTAGTGTAAAAACCTGTGAAATTACAATAGTGAAATATAGCTCTAGTGAAATACAGCCACTGTGGTACCCAAAATAAAGGTGGGCGCAGTCTTTGGCTGCCGTGGGGATGGGATATACGCARTGCTGCATTGGGTAACCCAGAGCAGACCCAGACAGGTCTGCAGCACCTTCCAGGGGCCACCACGGCCCAAGTGAGCTATTGTGTGACAGGTCGGTGAGGACGTGTTTGAACTCAAGACCTTGGTTAAAACATCTGCATTTTGACTAAGGGGGGGTTGGAGCGGGAAGGGACCCMTAGAGTCCAGGCCCCTGCTCCACAGGGACACCCGGAGCACGGGGCAGCCGGTCCATCCCGGCGCGCTGGCAGATCTGCAGAGCAGGAGCCTCCGCAGCCTCCCTGGGCAGCCTGGGCCGGGGCTGGGCACCCTCCCACCAAACAAGCTCTTCCTCACGGGCACGTGGAGCTGCCTGCGCTGCAACTGGCACCCACGGCCCCTTGTCCTGTCCCTGGCCACCACCCACAAGAGCTTGGTCCCTTCCTCCCTCCATCCTCCCCCTGGGTACTTGTACACATTAATACTCAGGCTTTCTGTCCCTTCAGCAAAACTGAGCTTGGGCTGCATCTCTGCAGCCCTCCAGAGTAAGGCCACCAGCCTAAGCAAAGGAACAGCCACATTTCCAAGCCATTGCAACCCAAACAAATCATGATGAAAACCTCTTAATTGAGTAAAAAGATCCGGTTTGTAACAAGATAAAGATCTCAACATAAAAACATTGAAATAAAATCTAACGTCTGCAGCCGAAGAGCTGAACATTTATTCCTGCTTTCCAGGCAGGAGCAAGATAGCACTCAACAGATACTATCTAATAATATTTGAACTTTGAAAAGGCTGCGTTTTTACTACACACAAAACTTAACCACTGGCACAGTTCAGAAAGTTCTCAAAGGAGAAAAAACACACACAAATGAACCAATTTATCTTTGCAAAATTCCGAGGGAGGTCGGCACAACTGCATCCATTTTACAGGACTCAGGACCACATTCCAAGMGACTTATGCAAAGGTTAAAAACCCTCTGGAAGCGTTGGAATTGCCCTGTAACTTTGGCGCTTCCAGAACACTGCTCTGAGCTCATACACTGAATAGCTTTTCCTCTTCTGCACAACTCATGATAAGTTCTGTGAATCAACTTAAAAACAAACGCTATTTTTAGGAACCTCTCTTAAGAGCAGATCTTCACTTACACTCACTGAAATAAAGAGCAACACAGCTGAGTTTCGGGACTTGGAAACTTGTTGCTTGACTCATAGGGCAATGAAGTTTAGGTGTATTTTATATTAGATATTTCAGTACCCAGGTCAATCTGATTCCTACTCTTGCTGTATCCTTTTATGGCCAATTCTGGAGCATCTTTTTGAGTAAGTGCCAACTTCATCATTACACTGTTAACAGCAAGAGCATGGGTTCAGTACCTTCTACTGGTTTGATACCTTCAAACGGGTAGGGAAATTTAAATATGAACTCAGGTTTGCAATTGCATTATTAGTCAGATTTAATGTCACAAAAATAAGGCATTCAGTAGGAAAATGAATACTGGAGTAGTTTCTTACTTTTTCTTAACAAATATATAATTCTTTTTCTACTATTTCTGGAAAACCTACATGAAAGCGTTAGATATTTTCATACTAATGGAAAGCACCTTCAGAAACGCATCTTTCACAGCAGGTATTGTTTTCAGTGGGTTGCATTATGCAATAGCTTATATATAGTAACTTGCTGGCTTCTACTTTGCTCAGACAGCCCCGTGTCTGCTTCCCGTGGCCAACTGAAACGACTTGCAGAACGAAATTTGGAGATGTGACATTAATACAGGACTATACAAAGGTCAAATTGATAAGCAAAATAAACAAACAATCACATTTCAAATGTGAAAAAAGAGCTAATCATTGATTAAGAACACTAAAGAGTAAGTAATGTCAACTAATTTCTGCTCCTAGCAGAACATGAATTTAATTGTGTCATTAAAACACTTCAGAGTCTTGCTTATTGTCCGGGGCATAATAAGAGCTGGAAGTTCTCAATGCTGTGAGGTCCAAGCAGCACAGTGACGAGGGCAGCGCGCTCACTGAAGTTACTGTTCGTTGGCAATCCTAGCCTAGASAGCTAAGACAAAACTTGGACTTGATTAATCACTTTACTGTATAAAGGCTATTAGGGCTTCTGTGCATTGCTGGTCAATAGAGACTTCCATGTCTTGTAAGTCACTCTTTCCATTGATTTCAACTTCATGAAGGCAAAATCCTGGTTAGATCTTAGCTACTCTCATTTGAAAAGCAGACATCACTAAAAGGACCACAGTTATAGAGAAAATGCTAAAATCACACTGACATCTCATAAGAGAAGGAAGGGAAAAAAGGAAGCTTTATCTTTCTGATTCTGCTAGCATAGGAAAGACCCTCCGAAGAATTAATTCTAAGACTTTCTAATTTCAGCCTGGAGAAAACTGAGCGTGACCATCACCAAATCAGAGATAAGAAACCTATATTTWAAAAAAATCAGCTTTTCAAATCTCAAGGGTTTTTATATGCAACAGTGAAGAAGAACATTTTTAAAATCAYGAAAAATACCTGGACAAGTGTCCTTCTAAGGTGCCTGATGACTGGCTCATTCTCCAAAGATACTACAGTGGGGTCCAATATGGTGCGAACTACATGGTGGGGAAGCTGTTGCTACTCCCAGGTACATCACCCAAAAGGACCTGAGAACAACAGCCYGGGTCAGTGCAGCATCTCTGGCAGTTGCTGGAAGAGAGCTCCTCCTTCCCATGCTTGTTCCTCTCGGGTATGTCAATTTAAAACACGCAAAACTAAGAAAACCTCCTGCTGCAGGGCAAAAAGCTAACCATCTAGCAGTCCACAAGACAATCAGGATCCGCTCCAGTCACCAAGCGGCCTCTGGGAGCAGGAGGAAGACCTGTCGCTGGCAGCGGGTACAGCAGGGCTAAGCACTCGGACAGAAGCTACGTAACGGCAGGCTCCGAAGAGGTAAGGACCGACTGACCAGGCTGGCCCGGTGCTCCCCGTGCCGGCGATGAAGCCACGAGTCCCGAGGGCTGCCGGACAAGGGCAGGAGATCCCGCAGCGCTCCTGCCCGTGCCTGCGGTGAGGAYGGCTCTGCACAGCCCACGGGCAGCTCTCCACCGCGCCAGCGCCCCGCAGTGCCACAGCGAGGCCATGGGCACGCGCCACTAGCTGCAGCACCGCAGAACGCACAGCTCCCTGCCTGCACTTCCCAATGCACACGGCCCTTGAAACGCCACACGGATTCATCTTTCTTTAGACAAGGCAACACGGATACACAGCAAGACTTCATACGTCAAACAGAACAAAAGGTAGGTATTTTTCTACGCATGCCAATTACCTGGTAAATTACATCTTGAAAAAGGACTGGAAAAGTGAGTGCAGCATCTTCTAATTCATTTAGACTACAGTGCACTAACGTTTCATCCTATTAAAAAATTTAAAAGATTAAATTAAGAAAAAATACTGAAAACGGAATTTGCATTTTTATGCWCTTTTTAAGGTAAGTTTATTTAGTCTGTAAAATTTTGTTTTGTGCAATCACTGTTAAGWTTTGCAAAAGAATTCTAAGAAAGAATTATACATTTAATTATTTTAGCAGTTTTTGAAAAAATTCGCTAAGGATTGTGTGCCAGTGGCAAACTACAAAAAGATGTTTTAATACTGCAGGCCATCCTGCCATCCTGTTCAAGTCTACATCCTATATCAACTCATACGATCACAAGAGGACATGCCAATTTATACAGCTCAGGATAAAGCAATGCTTCTGACATCATTAACAATGTCTGAAGCAGCTTCCAAAACACACGGATAAAGGATTCTAAGGGCAAATGCATTTTCTAAGAACATTTAAGAAAGTGGATTTATTTGTGACCTCTGAGAATAACCATGTTCTAAGATTATAAGATTCATTCTCTGTCAATTTTGATACAAGTCCATGTGAAGTGGAATTTTCATATTTATTACATATTTTTTCCCCCAGGATAGTTTTAGGAAAGCTTTATGGGGACAGGTAACTTTTTTCAAGATGACAAAAACTTTAATTTTGTTTTTTGAAGCAAGATGGGAAATATTTAACAAATACAGCAGGCATCCTATTCTCGCTACTACCAAATATATTTTTTACGTAGTATCTTTAMTAAGAAATATTATGAAAGTTGTAACATTCAACAGGTCTTTTAGTTTAAAGACCATATTACTAATTTCAGCAATAAATAAAATAAATTCAGTGCCACTTAACTCTCCTCCTACTTTTGCTATGTGTTTATGAACATATTTACCAAGTCTAGAACTAATGAGAACTCGGGTGTGCTTCTCGTTTTCAGTGGAAGAGCTGGCTTCCTGTTAAGTTGTTCTTCTGTTAGTGGTGGAACATGCTTGATGAAATAGTATCTGAAAAGAGAACAGATTTAGTTGTAGAAACGTATGCACACTTATTGGTGATGTTGTAAACCAACTAAGTATTTTAAATATTTAAGGCTGCATAAGAAATAACTTAAAAAGAAATACTACAAAAAAACAACCAAACAAAAAAAGTATTTTAGGAGTTTTCAGGGTTCATTAATRTAATGTAAGAAAATGTACCAACTTTAAAAAAAATTTCTTAAAGCACTATCCAAAATGATGAAATTAATATTTTCAATTCAAATATTAGCACTTACGGATCAAAGACTTCCCAGTCTTCTTCATAGGTGGCTTCTGCATGAGCTGATGAGTAGCCACTGTCTGGAGATACTGGTGCTGAAATTCAATGAAAATGACCAAAACGAACAAAAAAACCACAAACACACACAAACAAAAACAAACAACRACAACAAACATAAGAGCTAGTCTTATTAGTGCAGTTTTTACACGTGAAAATGTGCACTTGATGCAGAAGTCCTCGGAAGAGCAGTGCAGGGTGCCCCTCGCGGAGCCGGCGGCTCTCGCCTCCCGCCGAGGAGCGGGAGCGCCGGAGCGGGATGCGCCGGGTCAGCCGCCGTACTGGCGGGCAACCTACTGCCTGCAGAGCAGCCCTCATAATTAAATACCCAAATGTGGAGGGTCTACGTAACTCTCGGATGGTGACCTTCCACAAAGAGGTGAGGCTGGGTTTCAGGAATACAGTTTTGGGGCCATAAACAAGTGTGGTGATTCTGCTACAGAAAGCTGGAGGGGCAATGCAAGATCTCTATTTCTTATTGATCTCACCGTACTACTAGAAGAAACCAATATGTTGCAGATTTCTCTTCTGTGATGAGCAAATCCAGGGCATGCACTTCTAATACAAGCACAGGGCACTAGCTTAAATATTAATAAGACTGCCTGACTCCTGGAATCACTGGTTTAATTTGGAAAAAAAAAAAAAAAATAGCGATTATCTCAGTTATACCAGAAGTGGGTGAGACCTGCCTGCAAAAACTGGTTTTGGCGTTGAAAAGGGCTTTGTCTATTAATCACTAAAGAACGATATTAACAGTTTTGGCATGCCTAGGCAAATATGAAATACCTATTTATACAAAACGCAGGCAGTAGCATTTCCTTAAGCATCCAAATTACACATAGCTTCAAGAATTGAACTGAAGGGAAAACAAGCCCAAACCATTTCTTACCTGTAAGCGGTGGCAGATCACGATCGTTCGTCTCCTCCGCTTCTTCCAAACCATTGTTGACGACAGATCTGACCTGCACCGCTTGGCTCGTGTAGGCTGCTCCATTGGTCGATGTAGCAGTGCTTGTCGTAATCTCATCTACCTGTTCCATATCAAGCTGCTTGACTATCTCTTCAGCCTCAACAGCCTGTCCTGGCGAATCTGATCCTGATGTTCCTGAGGGAAGATTTCAGTAAACTCTTGGTCGTTATCGTTAAAATGAGTTATGTACTGGAGTACTATAGGCATTATTAAGCAAAAAGAAAACGTGTTTCAGAATAACTGAAGGCAGCCTTCCTTAACTCGGACTTCAAAACAGAAAACAGAATAAAAATAAATGTGTTTGGGAAAAAGAATTCTGTACGTTCCCCCCTCCCTAAATAAGAGGTACAGTGCTGTATACTTATACATAGGAAAGAAATGTCCTAAGGAATATAAACATATTGCTTCTTTTATTAATGAGCCACCCTTAGAAGAATTACAAAGGGCAGCAGTAACTCCTGGTCTGTAAATTAGAAGAAAAAGTGTACTGCCCCCTCAAAACAGCTTTTCAGCTTAAAAAAAATATATAAGTTATATTTACCATTTTTATTTGCTGGTGAGAAAAAATTGAAGACAGGGGAAAAGATGGTGCCCAATAATGTAGTTCGTGGGGGACTGCCAGTAGCAGGATTATCTTCTAATTTCCCATTTTGCTTTACATGTTGGTTTGTCATTTCATAACTTGCAGCTTCTGTAAAAGAAAAAATATGAAATGTAGTAGCGTGTTTCTCTTTTTATGATTTACATCTCCCTCCTTTTATTATCATTTTCATTACAGGAAAGATCATTGTTGCTCATAATTCCCCTTGATAGGTAGATAAATTAACCTGAGTATTTCATTTAAAAAACAAAAATTCAGTATCAATATAAAACAAAAATGCTGATTTTCAATGCTATCTTAAGTGATAACTTCTACAAGCAGTAGTTTTTATAACAAGCTATATTTTAACAAATAATAGTTAATACTAAGTTTAAGAATAAGGTGAAATCCTTTCTACAGGCTTGATGAAGTACAGCCTTCACACTAACAGGTGCTGGGGGGCTGCGGTGGAGTGAAATGGGAAGTGTTAGCAGGTTCAATGGCTCAACCTCGACACTAGCAAGATCAAGCAAGAACATAGCGAATTGTTCTGCATATATTATACACACACATATGTATAAATGTGAATATGCACACAGACACACACATAACTCTTAAGTAAAATAATTAGTTATCACAGCTAATGGAATTAAATAAATCTTCACATTGCAATTAAAAGGACAACAATTAAGGCTTGCTATAAATGTGCACATTTGTGTACATAAATGTAGCTCCTACTTCTAAACTGCTACCTCATGGGTGAAATGCAGGACATAATTCAGAGGCTGGAACGAGAGAGAAGCTATTTGCTACACAGCAGTAAGTCTTTGCGATGCCTGTCCGTACGGAGGCGAGCGAATGGGTGTTGAGCCCGAGCTCGGGACGGTTGTGTGAGCTGAGCCTGTGGAGCGGCACGAGCGCCTCGCTCCTCGCAGMGCGTCAGGTAGGCGTGGGGAGCGCCCCTGCAGCTCAGCCCTCACCAGCACCGAGCATCTTACCATGAACGTCACACCACTGCAGCAGCAAAMGGCTTGAGTGTGGTCTGTGCGCACAGCTCAGGCCTCTGGTTAACCGAACAGCCGCTGCCTTCGTCGAGCACYGTGTGTGCACGTCCCTCTCAAGCAGGTGAAGCCATTCTCTCCAGCAGGCCCGCACTGGAAAAGCCTCCCCTGAGTCACAGGCCATCCTCAGCACGTGTGTAACCCTCTGACAACAGCCACACTCCCTCACGCTGTCRTCTCTCCATCTACCTACTTAGACATCTCTCCATCCTCTATTTACTTAACAGTTTTACAGGTCTTGCTGGAAGATACAATCTCCGAGATCTCAGCTCACTGACTAACTTGGTGGAAACAAGACAGCAGGAAAYGGAGAATGAAGGGCTAGGGACAGCACAATAATCACGTAAGACAAAAAGTCTAATAAAAGGGGTTTTGAGTTAGGCTTAGAACCACTGCTTACGCTATGAATTGCATCAAATATTTCATCCAATACTTGAAGTATCCAAGTATCCAAGTAAATGATTAGGATATTTACAGACCTCCATTCACTTGACTTTTCCGCCTTACTCGAGAGATCTGTTTGTTAGGCTTTTCTCCTGTTTGAGGTGTGGATGTGATCAAGTTGTTATCTATATCCCGTTCAATTCTACTTCTTTTTGCAGGATTTTCTCTTTCTTCCTTAAAACAGAAAAAGGAGAGAAAAAAAAAAGAAGAAGAAACATGCTTAGTGAAAATGCCTCTTTTCTCTACTGAATGCTACCAGGAAAGGTTTCCTGTTAGGGAAAGTTAAAAATGTTAAAAACGTGGGTTATAATCCAGTGATTCTCCTTACCTCCAGGTAAATGACTGTTCTCTGTGGCACTTACATGAACGACTTGGCTCTGGCAGAATCGGGTATTTTTGCATATTTTTTTGTGCATGAGTGTATGTGTAGGCACACATGTTTAAGACCAATTTCTCTCCCCCTTTCTCCAAAGCACACACTACATCTTAATAAAACAGCAACCTAAAATCTGAAGCATGAATGTCTGGAGTACATTGAAATGTAAAGTGTGAGACAATGCAAAATAAATGGAAATAAATAATAGCAAGGCCACAGAGCACAGCTAAGTCAATTAAATTTTCAATTTTAGAATTATCACAGTACCACTCCAGGTCATGAGTTAGCAAAAGCCTTGAGATCATCCTGTTACCATCAGCATTTCATTACGAACATCTTAGTTGGCTTCTTCTATAACCAAATAGCTCTGATGTATTTTTTAAATTTTTATTTGTTTAAGGAACATTCTCAGTAAGCCACCCTCATAATATCTGTTAATTGAATTACGACTGCTGTCAGAATTGGCACATTTCAAAGTCAAGGCCCAGAAGGATTCGCAGCGAGACCCAAATGGCCAAACCCGCGGTCCTCGCACGGATGCGAACATACCCACAAAGGGACTCCAGCCCACGGAGCCCAYCGCCAGGAGCGCCGCGTTCCCATGGCAACCACGAGGGACTTTGTTAAGTCACCAGCGCTCCTGATACCAGCCCGGGTATCAACAAACACCACGGCGGGCTGCGGTCCGGAGCCTCTCCCGGCTGCTCCAAACCCGGACAGGGAGCAAGGGGGAATGGGAGGAAAAACCAGGACAGAATGGAGGGGGAAAAAAAAAAGGAATTCACGTTTGTGGGAGAAGAGGAGAACAAGGAAGGGAGAAAGTTAACTAAGCCTTAAAGAGGAAAACAAAACAAAAACCAGACACATATTTCTCTTATCTGAAAATTCCAATGTAAAATGTTTTGCTTAGATTTCTGCATGTTGTTCCACGGTTGTGCAGCCAAAATGCTGCMCGACTGTGCTGGGATACAGATGCTAGAATGTAAAAGAGATTAATTGTCCTGTTTAATGAACCACGACAGGTAAGCAGTTGGAAGCATTTACTTCTACTGAAATATTTCCATGTCAGTATATCTCTATATTCCAATAACAGGAATGAACACATGCTAATAAAGTTTAAATTTCACTATATTTTTTGTCAATTTAAGAATAAATTGTTACTTTAATTAAAATTACTTCAACTACAGCTTGTTAAAAATCTTAATATTTAAATTCAGAAAATCATTTTGAATTTAAAGCATAATTGTTATTTACCATATACTTCATCTGAGTTGTTTTAATATAACTTTTATATATTCTTTAAAATTCACAGTTTATATTCTTTAAAATTTACATTTTACAATTTACATTCTACATAATTTCAATATCTGGATGCTGGGAGTCAGGAAAGGTGTTTTTTTTTTACTATTTATAAAAAATAGATAAAAATTAGAGATTTCTAAAGCAATTGCAAGGCTGCATTCAGCCTGCTGAAGTAACRTGTTCAACTCTCCCTCGAAAGCGCCTCTGAGCAGGTTTTGCAGGGCTGGCGCGCGGCTGAGCCCGGACGGGTTAAAGCGGAGCCGCTAGGTGGGGGCACACGCTGCAGGGTGCCCGAGCGGGCGCGCCGCTGCCCGCCTGCCCTCCTCGCCATCCTGCACGGTTTCCGGCAGCGATGCTGACATTACACTGCAAAGCTGCGCTTACTGACCCGCTTTACTGAGCTCCTTGCACAGGGAATCCCCAAACTCAAAGGAATATTTGAGCTGTATTTGAAAAGGCACTGAATTCATTATTCCACATTTTCACAAAGAATCACATTAGTAATAAATCCTATAATTTATTGGATTGTCTTAAATCTATCTAATATATCTACCATGGGCTCCAGTCGGTTTTGCAGGTTTGAAGTTATAGATATTTCTAGCTTTCCAATTCTTTGCAATAAGATTCTGCTTCCAAATGAATATCATCTATATCCTTTTAWTTATTCTCAATAAAAAGATTTTTAATAAATTGAACTGAGTATGAGCCAATGCAAAAACACAAAAGGAAGGCGGTGAGGCTGTACCTTGGGTGTGCTTCCTTTGATAAGCTTTTTGATGGAGGACAACAAGCCCGCGTCATTTTTCTGTGGTTTTGCCCCGCCGACAGGTAAGCTCTCCTCCACCTCCGAGTGTTTCCTCTTGGCGCGCAGCGCCCGCTGCGTGTGGATCGCGGTCGACTGCTGAGAAGCCTTCCGCGTCCTCAGCCTCATTTTCACGTGCACCACATGTAAAGCTACACAGGGAGAAACCAAGAGCGCTAAGTCAATGAAGAAACCTACTGCATTTCACATCATCGAAGAATTATATAATACTGACACGGTACTGATGCACTGAGCATTTATATACGCACACATATATATCTATACACACACATACATGCTCGAATTTAAATGAAGGAGAGCTATTTAAATTAAGGCATATCACTGGCAAAAGCAAATGAATATAYGCTGCCCAAGAACACAAAGCACATGAAAGTTTAGCTAATTATTCCGATGTTATTAACACTGAGCTGAATTACTATTTACCACAGTGAATTAGGAGTTAAGTAAATGAGCAGTAAAAATATAATGGAACTTTGTACAAAGCTGTAAACCACATTTATTGCAATACATTATTTATATATTTTGAAGAACTGGMAAACATCCTACAATGTGACTTGCAAAATATTCTGATGAGAAATAGGAGACTGCCACTAAGTGAGTACAAATTAAACAAAATCATGCTAAAAATAAACATTTGTGCAAAGGACTAGAAAAAATAAACTGTGAAACACAGAAAGAAGACTGACACTAGTGAAATTCCAATCTGAGAGGGAAAGTATTACTTAAAATAAGTTACCTAATCTTTTCTAGAGTAGCAACAAAAATTAAAGAGACAAAGCACGATGCAACGCAATGCATGTCAGCGGCGTGTCCGTATTTGTGCAGCACGGAGCCGCTCGGCTCGCCCAGCGCTCCTGCCAGMGCTCTTTGGCTGCCTGCACATCCTGGGTATCAAGCCTCAAGTTATAAATAGCGCTAATGGACTTAGCAACAGGCCCCTGCAATCCTCTCGGTGACAAAGTTTGCTCTCCTACTGCTCGGTGCTTCTGGCCGCGTGCGGTTCCTACTCGAACCCCACGCGTTCCGTCTTTGAAATAAGCATTAAAGTCCAACACTTAACGGAGCCACGATAGCCGAGCCCGAGGGGGTGCCTGGCCCCGCTGGGTTCCAGCCCGCGCGACGGGACGGCCGCAGCGCTGCACCTCTGCGAGCATCACTTGCAAAGTTCATTCCGAAGCCTTGCGCAGCCTCACGAGTCCGGAATCGTTTTAAAACATTCACAGCAAGTATACCAAATATTTAAAATTGAAGCCGTAGTTCTGTATTACCTGCAGATCTTAAACTCCTGAAAAAAGTCCCAAATTCCTTCTACATTATATAAAAAAGAGAAAGAAAAAAAAAAAAAAAGGAAAGTATCAGTTGAAAAGGGAATTTAAACATTGCATCTCATTCTTTAGAAGAAAAAAAAATGGCAAAATGCTAATTTCATTACAGAATTAGAGAGCTAAGGAGAGTGAAGCAATGAAGGAGCTATYAGGAAGCAGGTACCGCTGCAGTACGTTCCACCTGCCCGAGCTCCTGCACTCCAGAGTGGCCGTCCTGAAACACGGTCACTATTCTGTGGCACGGGCAGCCGCTGGAAAGAAATGCCAGGGGACAACCTCCATTCTGCTCTACTCCTAAACAAGAGCAGACCTCTCTGCAGTCCTCGGTTAGTGATGATTTATTTCCCTGCTACACAGGGTACAGCTGCTGGATGTACTATTCCACAAAACCATTAAGAGAAAAATTTGGTGTGCMAAGTATGAACAGTTTAAGGTTTTTTGATACAGCAGAAAGTTTAAGATGGTGAAAGAACAGTAGTGATGAACCACAGGAAGATACTAGTGGCCTGAAAACTTTAAATGACAGCGTTGGACAACTACCACAATTAACTTGGCTCTTGGTAATAGCCCCGCGTTGCCATGCCCGAGAGCTACGTATTCCAAACACGAGTCCCGGCAGAGCTCCGGAGGATGAGGACAGCTCCAGCCACAGCAGGAATGCCACTTGGTGGGCGGCAGGAACTCCTCACACGGAGTGCTTCACTTTGGTTATGCTATTTTCCCGCTATGTGCTCCATTTCTGCAGCACTGAAATGCAGCGGCCCGTGTTGTGGGCAGAGCAGGCGCTCCCTCGTTTTAACCACTACGCTATTCCCCCCGCACTGCTTCCACATTGTTTTTCCCACCATTTTTACATGGGCTACAGGGTAGTGAAGCTTCTTGACTCTTCTCCYGAGCTTTCTGTGGAGCCTACCAATGCTATTTAAAATACACGTATCAGCACACTTCATTACTGTGATGTGACCCAGATTTTAGGTATTCAGAGCCATCCCAGCCAAAAGATGCACCCATCAGGCAGTTGCAGTTCATTTACATGATACTAGCGATGCTTTCAGCAACAGCAGATCTTATGATACAGCACAAAGAAGCCCCAGTGGCTGGGAGAAACCCATGGAAAAAGACAGAGAGTGGCAAGCTTGATAGGAGGAGACCAACAGGGGACAAATCCTAACCTGGGGTAACTATCCCCCTGCCTGCACCCACAACAAAGCCAAGGAAAAGGACTTACAGAGAGACCTTGCAAGGAAACGCTGCAAGGAAAGGGCTCAAAGCTGCACCGACCTCCCCTCCGAGAGGCTCCCGGCCCCTCTTTAACCAACCAATGCTCMTTCCCTAGCAGGCTACAGCAATCACACTTCACTCCAGCCGAGGTACCGCCTGGTTTGTGACACGCCGTACTCCTCTCGTGCCCCTTCTCAAAYCTGGCTGCGGGTTTTGCTGCAACCACCTCACAGAGAGGCGGCTGCTAGCCGGGAAACTGCGACCCGAGGGAGCCCTCGAGTACTGCTGGTGGAGGTAAAGGCAGATAAAGGGACACTGATTTATAGGAACAGCGAAACACATCGTACATGCAACTCAAATGCTGGTGTCTTGTTATGAAACCTGGGTAAATCTACACAGAATCCCACAAATTTCATAAAAACAGCAGTTAATTCTAACTGCCAGAATTGCAATGCAAATGCTGCATTTTCTTGTTCCATGGGAAGCACCTTTCCCTCTCTCTGTACCTCTCGGGGTACTCGGTCATGTCGTTCCGAACAAAACCACGTCAGCCCGGTTACCTCCTCATTTCATCCAGGATTCCTCAGTTTGCCCATCTTACACTCACACACCACAGCTCAACTCTTTCAGTGTTTAGTATCTCCCTTCAAGGAAAGATTTTTGTAAAGAAGATTTTCCCAAAGAAAGGAGGCCTTTTATAATTGGCCACAACATCAAACAGATTTTCCATTACCTTATTTTCTGCTCTACCAATGCTGTCCCGAGGCCGCCCTGCTTTGCTAGCAAGGCTCTGTTCTGATCACGCTCTGTGCGTTGGGCAGCGACGTTCCCTCCCTCCCGGCGGGGCTTTTCCCCCCTCGGGAGCACGGSTTCCCGCGTGCACTGCATCCAGCCGCTGCACGTGGGTCACGCTACTACCYGGCACAGAAAACTGAGATTTGGATCCATCCTAGAGCAGCTCGTTTCAAAACAAACCTCACAATCTGTTACAGCAGAGCGAAAGAATGATACTGTTCGCCACGTGCTGCGCTGCCAAGGCACGGATTGCACACGAGTCACGTGCCGGCACGCGGGGCTCGCGGCGCCCGGGGTCGCGCTGCGACGGCGGCCGCAGCTCCCGGCGCTGGTGAGCGGGGTGCGGAGCCCGGCACCTGCACCGGCCCCGCCGCCCGGGGACACGGCACCGCCGGACATTCAATCCCGCTGCCGGGCGCGCGGAGCCTATTTTGGGAGCTCCGCTCCCTCGGCACAGCCCCCGGCACGGCAGGCTGCCAAACCCCTCCTGGCCGGGCCTTCCAGGAGGCTGGGATAAACTCAGACCTCAGACAAACACCAACGGGTCGCGTCTTTCACCGCACGTTAGCGCTTGCGGGGCTAGGGAAGCCAGGGAGCCACCCGGGGCTGCGCAGGAAAAGCCCTGGCGATGACAAGGTGCAGAAGGACCCGCGCTTGGCTTAAACCTGTTGGCAAAACGGCCCCTCCTCTGCTCACCCTCATCCTCCCGTGGATGCAGAACGGCAGCCAGAGGCTGCCCAGGACTCTGCCAGGGCCCTCACCTGCCGCTGAGCAGGTAGGGGACGTTCCTGCCTGCTCCCTTGGACTTAACAATAACAGACCGTTTTCACTGCGGGCTGTCTTTACCGGGGGATAAAAACTCTTCAAAGGAGAATATGTTGTTCCCTATTCCCCTGGACAATATTCTCCCTGAGCAACTACATGAGTTCATAACCTTTCAAAACTATTTCAACTTAAAAATAAATTTAAATACTTTAAATCATGCCCTCTACTTAGGCAGTGACCACGACTATACTCACTTGCATCTGGCTTTCCTGGTGAAAGAAAACAAAACCGTGACACTGCTGTTAAAACTGGGGGAAAAAATGCTTCTTTTAAAAAAGTCAATTATTGTCCATGTAAATTTTAAACTAAACATCTATTACCTATGAATGCTGATTTATACCCAGCTCCTTTACAGATCATTTTGGTCCGCTCCTCAACGGAAACGTTCATTCTTGCAGATTTCTGAGGGATTACTGAGATTAGTTTCTTCATTTGTACACGCCTACACGTGCTCACAACCAACTTAAAACTGATATGAAACCAAGAGCTAATGTTTCAAGGGCTTCACTCACCAACTTGTGTGTGATCATATGTTAATGCATATAAATAAAACATTGGGACTTTGCAAACATGAAYATCATTCAAAGCGTCAGGGGGAAGGGGCTGCCGGTGACGCACGGGTCCGGCCGCACTGCAATCAGGCTATTTCACACCTTCTTGCCTCGTTAAGGGGTGAAACCCCACGCGGAAGGAATCGCCTGCTATCCAGAGGAAAGGCACACGAGGCGTTTGAACAACACTACAAGAACACAGACTGCTACAAACCCATTCCAATAGTAAAGGTCTTTGGAAGCCAAAGCTGATCTGGGTGCTCTCTGCAATGTTTCCATTCTGCTTTAATCCCACCACAAGTTTCACTTACTTATTTCACAACTTAATTGCTTCCAGTTTTGTCTGCCCTATCTCTGCCGCTTTAACAAATAACTTTCTAATGTAAAATGTGCAGTTCATTCAAAMAGGTT